CATTTGGCATCAAAAAGTAATTGCAACAATCTCCCCATATCTGCCTGACGAATCCCAGAACCAAATCACTGCAGTGCACCACGGTTACAGGGGGCTGGTCAATGCCTTGACAGAGGCCAGCAGCATGTCTTTAACAAGGCGAGACAGAACTGCTTGGTGTCCTCAGGCACAAGCTGGAGAGATGGGTGCACAAAGTGTGCAGGACAGTAGGGGAGACACAGCCTGGCCATGGTTTCTGGGTATGTAGGTTTGAGGCTACAAAAAAACAATGGTAGCAGATGGTCAAATTTTGCAAGGAGTGTTGAGGTGTGCAAAGGTCACTGCTTATGACATTGCTCCTTCAATAAGATCAGGGTTTTCATTGCATCTCCTCCCTAATAAGCGGGTCTTAAAGACCACTGTTACCTGGGAAAATGGTAAGAATGGTACAGTGCCCTGCACAGAGAGCTCTGCTTGCTGAAAGTGGCTCTTGCCAGTATAGTAAGACCATGCTGGCGGGGAGGACTGGACTGTGCAGGTATTGGCAAACTCTGGAAACTATTAATACCCCCCCTCACACACACTTTAGAATCTCACTAAAGCAACTCATTTCCCATCCTCCCCTCCATTCCTAACTGCTTGACCGCTGTGTCTCAGCACTGACCACTAGAGGGTCACTTCCTCACAACACCCCACTCATCACCCCACTGTCCCTTTGCTCACTTGTGAGCCTACACTGCCTCTTAACTCCACTGAAACACCAAGGGACACAAATCAGACAGAAGGGATGTTTGTAAGCTCGTGCGTGCCCGCTGCAGTGATTCAATCCTGGAACACATCAGACAGTTCCCAATGCAGTAAATTCAGGGAAGGACTTTCTCTTTGCATGCAAAAATTAAGCCAGGAGTTCAGGACTGTTACCTGATGGGGCATTTTCAAATACAAATACACATACATACACACGAATGTATGCAGCATTCATATATGTATATATTTTGCTCCCAAAAAAAGGGATAAACGAATAGGATAATCTACTATTTGCCTCATCCCTGATTTTTTTGGCTTTTTGAGCGGTATATATAAATATATATTATTTTACATCCTTGGTTATGGCCAAAACATAAAACAAAAAAATTACAACAAAAAAGTAAGAATACACTTAGAACATATTGCACCTTACAGCTGGGCAATATTCTCAGTTTACTGTGTGTAACGTCAGCTTGACTCCACTGTCCAGTTCATTCTGCTGGTGACCCGACAATGAGGTCGTGAATTCCCAGGCTCAGTTCCAGCCCAGTCTCCCATCAGCTACATTCAATACCTTATTTATACATGCGTGTGCGTGTATAGATGTATGTATACATGTACAAGCACAGATTCTGTAAAACACTCGTGCACAGCTTTGTGGTGGTTCAGCCCAGCCCAGTTTACAGAGGGTGTGGACAATTCGTGTTGGACATTCTGAAGCTCCACACTATTAACACTGAAATAAGCAAGCTTTGCTATCATTTGCTAGAGATGCAGTCAGCCCAAGACTGAATGCACTCCTTTCAGAGTGGAGGCAGAGCCTATTGTTCCAATAAGCTACTTTTTTGCCTGCAGCCCTTCTCAACTTTAGAGCCTTTGTTTAGTAAATTTAAAATGTCCCACACTCCACTCCCTGCTCACTCTTATAAAGAATATTTGTCCAAAACCTGAATTAGATGACGCTTTACCTTCTACCATTTAGCTTTCTAATCCCCATATATACATACGTTTATACATATACAGACACACGCACACATGTAAATACATATCTTCAATCTCTTTCAAATTCTTTTGAGTTTTGTGTTGTGTGAGGTATGAGAAGATTGTGTCTCAGTCAGCATCTATTTTCAGTTTCTGTTGCATTATTTTTCCTGTTCGGTTTTTGCCTGTTTTGTTTTTTTTTGTAGTCTCTTTTTTTTTAAAAAAAGAAAAAAAAAGTCCTGTTGATGTTTGTCATAGCTCCTCCTCATAAAAAAAGGGGACGGACGATTCAGACACACGTACAGACGACAGAGCAAGTTAGCTTACTGATACAATCTAGAGGTGATCTGTAGAGGAAGTGAGGGTTTTGTCTAGGTTACACTGCACACATGGTCAAAAGTGACTACGGCTGATTTCACACAGAGCAGTTTAGCGTCGACAAGAACAAAAAAAGAATAGTAATAAAAAAAAAACCCCAGCTCATTCTCCAAAGCTCTTAGCTTTGTTCCGGAGTCTTAAAAAAAGTCATCTTTCTTTTCATTTTTTTATTTTTTTTTTTGTTTTCAAATAAAATTTAAATGAGAAGGTAAAGCAGCATTTTAAACCCCCTAGAGTGACACACATCCAATCAGTCAGCTCGCAAGAATGCAGAAACACTGTTGTGGGTTCTGGCGTTTCTTTTGTTGTCTTTTTTCTTCCCATTACAAGAGTTAATCCTGTACCGTGTACATGGAATGCCATTATTTTCTTCTCCTGTCTTTCTGATGATAAAAGGAGGAACAGATTCTTCTACACAACTTTCCCGGGGAGGGAGGGAGGGTAAGGGTAGGTGGTGGTTGTTTTCAGATTTTGTTCAGTTCAACCTTGTAAACCCCAGAGTCCAGGTGTGAGAGAGGAGCTGTCTTGGTCGCAGGTCTTGTCCAGGTAGCTGGTGTGTATTTGAAGGCTGTCACCGCACATGCTGGCCAGGTGGGCTGACTGGGTTTACCTAGAGACCTTCCCACAATCTCACACTGTAATTTCTCCCTGCTGTTTCACAGGTCAAACTCCCACATGTTTACAAAAGCCTGAACCATGTCCTGATTTTAGCAGACCAAACCCCTCTCTCCAAGTGCTCCTTCAATTGGACCAATCCAATCTCCCCTCTCTCCAAGTGCTCCTTCAATTGGACCAATCCAATCTCCCCTCTCTCCAAGTGCTCTTTCAATTGGACCAATCCCATCTCCCCTTTAAGTGCTCTTTCAATTGGACCAATCCCATCTCCCCTCTCTCCAAGTGCTCTTTTAATAGGACTAATCCCATCTCCCCTTTAAGTGCTCTTTGAATTGGACCAATCCCCTCTTCCCCTCTCCTAATCCATTTTACATTGAAAATTTAATTTCACCACTCTCACAGGCCTACTTTGTAGTACTTTTACTCAAGACCCTGATTGAATCTTTGCATTTTTTTTTTCACATTCATTTAATGGTGGTTTTCAAAAGGGGATTGCGATTCAGAAGTTGCATTGCGGTGCTCAGATGACAAGAGACCAGGAAACCAGCGGAATTCACCCCAATAGTGGATATTTTCCCAGTGTATTTTTTTAAATACGGATGGCACAAATGTGGGGCGTTTACCACTGGCGGGTTGGCTTGGCTATGTTAAGCAAAATGGATAAAAAATTGCAGGAAAGTGCTTGGGTGAGAGGGAATGAGGGGGGTCAGGAGGGGGAGTAGGATGGCCACTTTAGTGCAAAAATACGTGACATTATGATTGGAGAGCATGGGGCGCAGGGTATGGGCTCAGAGCTCTTCTTGGCTCCATCTGTAGAGGAGACAGGGGTGCTCACCCTAACTGAGATTGATTTTATCAACCCTGGGGCTTCCACAGCCTGAAAAACAAAGCACCACGTCTTTCCTGTGAGGAAGAGTGGCTGGAGTGGGGGAGGCCGGACATTACATGTCCACTTCAAGGTTTTCACGAAGGCGGCGTGGTTTCAGGTTGATTGATCTGTCTTTCACTTGCGCTGGAAGCAGGCAGTCTCTCCGCATGTTCAGATTGCGATAGGACCATAAACACCGATGTGGACATCTGTTGTAATTGTTGTAAAATAAAGACCACGCAATTCCTCAGCCTCGTTTTGGTCTTGTCCAATCATTGCTCGATACACCCCCTTCCTCCATGAATGACTGCTTAGCAATCAAAAGAGGTTGTCTTTTTTGTTTTATCCTCAAAAACAGTGAAACGCCATTTACCGAAACTGTCCCCTCTGCATTTTCACTTAATATTTTAACCTCTTCTTTAGCAATTTGCTTTATCTTCTTTCTCTTTATATTTTTTCTTTATATTGTCTTCAAAGAGGAGAATCCAGAGTTGCACTTGGTCCCACATTTTCTAAACAACGCAAACTGATTTTTAACAACCCCCCCGTGTCGTCGTTGTCCCCCCTCCAAAAAAAAACCCCAAATAAATGAAAACAAGTTAAAATAAATAAAATAATACAAAATGAAATGGCTAGGCCCTCCTGTTTCAGTGAAATTCTATTGACTGAGGTGAAGTGGGAGTGAGGTGGAGTCAGGATGTAGAGGTCAGAAGTCAGAGGTCAGAGGTCAGAGTATGGGTCTGCTCCAACAGCACTGAGTCAGCCTGCTATGTGCGAGGCCTGTGTGCAGCTGCCCTGTGTTAAGTAGGTGAGGTAGAGCTGGTCACTACAGAACCACTGCTCAGATTACAGCACAGACAGCTAAGTCTCCCATGTAGTACTATACTATGCAAGCAAAGTGGGCGCTGCATGTTCAGAGATATTTGCCGTGACGTATCAAATGTCGAGGCTGATCTGGTCTTTCATACTGCCAAGGGAGAAAAAAAAAACTCTCTGGGTAATACCCTCAAGTTCAGCCCTGCGGAGACTGCCTGAGCTGAGCTCTGTGCCCAATATGCATTTGCAATATTGCCTGAGCAGTGGATTCAGTATTGCAAACATGTGTTGGGTGTTGGTTGTGGCTGGGGGTAGAAGGAACAGGGGACAGTCTGTCGTCTGTGGACAAACAGTCCCAAAGAGAACAAACCCAAAAAAATAGAGGAAGTTTAAGGTAGTAAACTCTGCAGACCAGAGGGCCCCTCCCTGTCTCTGGCTGTCCAGCTGTGCTGTGCAGAGACCCCCTAACACTGACCTGACATGATGGGCTCACGGCCTTTATAAAAGGCGGAGGGAGATGGAGGTAGCAGGTGACTCACAGACTGAGGCAGCTCTGCTGCAGATGCATTCAGAAGACACAACACTGCAGTGCTCCTGCCTGCCGAGGTAAAACGGTGCTTGTCCAAAGCTCTCCAGCTGAGCACAGCACCTTTCCTTTTCACACAGGAAACAGCAGGGGAGTCTGATCAGTGACTAACACGGAGAAGAAGCGCTCTCTTCTGCCAGAGAATTGCACTGCAAACTCTGGGAATTTAAGGACTCTGTTATTGCTCATGAGCAGAACAAGATGAGAGACAGAACTTTCCGGGATATGCCATTGTTAGATTAAAATGAGTGATAAACAAAACAGTCTGGTAGCACAGAGATAACTGCACACATGGTAAGAAGCTTACATAATGAACAGTGATCCTAAAAGAATGAAAGAGTTGTTTTCTACTTCAAAGACTGAAATGATTTTTTTTTAAATCATCTTTAACAAACGAAGCTTCTTTTAAATAAAGAGAAGGCTGACGCAAACAGTTCCTTTAAAAATGCCAATGGGGTTCTGTGTGTTCCTAATGTTAGACACTGCAGTCATTAAGAGTGAATAAAATCTGTTGAACAAATGTTTCTACAAAGAGTCTAAAATTTTGGTCTTTTTTTCTGTGGGAACATCTGTTTCCCAGAATCGATTTCGTCTACTAACGCTGAGATAAACTGAATCACTATTGGATCGGGGAACACGTCAGTGAGAGGGGTGTGGGCCCCAGTGCCACAGTGGTGCACAGCAGCAAAGACCGCCACCTGGTGGTGACTCGACGCATTGCGTGCGAACTTCATTCGCCGTGAAGTGCCAGCGCACTCCAGGAGAGGGCGCCACTTGTGAAATCAATGAAGAGGTGGGGGGGGCGGAGGAGCGGGTGGACGTTGGGGGCGGGGAAAAAGTGAAAAAACACGAGCACAGCTTATAAAAACGACAAAAACAAGAGGGCCACCCATTTGATTTTTAAGAAAAAACGAACCCCTTCTGATGGCTTTCTCGTCTGCTGCTGGTGGTGTGTTTGATTGTTTGATGAGGCAGTAATCGCCCCTCCCCCTCCCCCCCTCCCCCCAGCTTCCACCCCGGCCTCTCCGGATGGCCAACCCCGCTTCACACCTCCTGGTCCTCGAAGACCTCGAGGAAGAGTGGGGGGAAGAGTTCGGTGGGACACTCCACCTTCATGTGCAGGAAGCGGCTGGCGTGACAGGCCCCGATCATCCGCAGGTCCGTCACTTTCATCAGCAGCTTGGGCCAGAAGTGTGGAATGTTGTGCTTCCGGTAGTTGATGTAGTGTTCGAACGCCAGCAGGTACGTCTCCTGGCACTTCTCGATTTTGTCCACGCAGGTGAGGCCTGAGCGGTCTGCGGCAGAGAGAGAGAAACGGGGGGGGGGAGAGGAGGAGGGGATGAAAGGTTGATGTCAATAAAAACGACCCAGGCAGGACGCAACTCTCCAACGTGACTGAGCAGACCTCTCCAGACAGAACACTGAAACACGGACCAGGCAGAAGTGCGTTTCTTTACCCAGAGGGTGGTGGGAGTGTGCAACAACAGCCCAGCCATGTTGTAGAACGCGATACCCTGGCTATCTTATAAGAAATGGCTGGATGAGATCCTCAAATCAATTTCCTACTAACTGCCGACTGGATGGATTGAGTGGCCACTTTGTGTTTGTAACCTTTTCTTATGTTCTAAACGTGTGAGAAGGAAACAAGATCCATTGAAAAGAACACAACCACAGTGGAAATACAGCAGTCCTTGGAGTTCTCAATGGTCACAGTTACACTGGCTCTGCAAACACTGTGACGTTATATGTTTAACTGTCTTTGGTGCTTAAAGGGGGACAGCAATGCTATTTTCGTATTTTGGGATGAGAAAGAATCAGCACTGATGAGTCATTTCAAACCACAATAACAGTGAAATGTACACAGTAACTTGTAAAACTTCAAAAAGGCAGTATTTCCAGTTATGCACCGAGCAATGTTTTGTGATTCAGAACAAGCCAACAAAACCTCCAGTCACACGTGCTGCCCTACAACTTTGTAAACAAGCAGGCTTGTGAATACTTCTCTTTTAATTTAGTAGAAATATTCCTTTCAATTTCAAGATGGTTTTGCCGACAAATACTATGTACGTACACGCAGATCATCTTGGAACATGGTAATGTTTTTTGAAATATCTGCCTCACAACCTGTACTTAATCACTCACACATCGCATTACATCAGTCATTACGGAGACTAGTGAGCAGGAAGGGCCGCATCACATGGCAACTCGAATGGGAGTTTGCATCAACATGGCGACTTATGGTACTTTCACAAAATTCACACTTCTGTGCTTAATATAGAATTTCAATTTTTTTTCTAGAATGTCAATTCATTTATTTTGTGACCGAGATTTAATAACCTGTCTGACAAATTGGGACCGCAGTTCCCCCTTCAATCAGAAATGACCACTTCATTAGCAGTTCTGTCTCGGAAGGCAAGAGGTGCCCAGTCTTCCAGAGGGACAAGGTGCCGTCGGAAATAAGACGGGGACTCGGTTTCTACCGACGGCCGGCTCTCACCCGAGCTCATAAGCAGCACGGCCTGCAGCAGCGCCACCTCGGTGTCGTCCAGGTTGAACTGTGCCAGGCTCTTGCCCAGATCGAAGATGGCGTCGGACACCACGCCCAGGCCTCCGTTCTTGAGTTGCTCCCGCTTGACCGCCATCTCCCCGCTGAGGGTCAGCGTCTCGCTCTCGGGGTCGTAGCGCACCGCTGCCCGCAGGGACATGATCTCCATGCAGCAGCCCTTCAGCAGGATAATCTGGTCTTCACAAGGCAGCTGGACAGACAGACGGAGAACGAGGAGGACGGTTGTTTTAATCCAGTGAGTCAGACGGGCACATGGCTACTGGCACGCAATAACGTACAACACATACCCAAGCAGAGAGGCATTCAACCAAATGCTTACTGGCACACTACAGAATACAGCAGATAACACTTCACACAGTCACAGCAACACTAATTGAACAGGTACGCTGTACGCACACACACTCCCCAGGTATGCTGGGGCATGCTGCAACAGAGACAGGCATGCAATAAAGACAGGGGCACAGAGACGGGGACAAAGGCCACACCTCAGAGAACATGGGCAGTTTTTTGGCAAAGTCGACGACGCGGGTGATGGCCGGGGTGATGATCTTGGTGAACTCGCTGAAAGCCTCCAGATCCACTTTGTCCCCGTCAGATGTGGGCGCCACTGGGGACTGCCCAATATCCTCTGGCTGGAGAGGGAGGCAGGAAAGAAGGGAGGGACAGGAGGAGGAAGGAGGGAAAACGGACTAGGATTAGAGAATATAGGACCATGCTGATCTGGCAGTGGCCAGCAGGGAGTGCTGCAACAGACTGCAGTCTGAAACTCTCATGAGGATCCACCTGCTAAAAAGACACAATCCTTTAGTTATTATTAACTTCCTTTGCCAAATGCTGCACATTAGCTTTCTCTAGCAGTTCTTAATAGCTCTGGGGGGGGGGTTAAGCTGTGAACTCTGGCACAAGACGCTGTGCAGACAGACACCTGTGCAGCTCTGGCCTGATGTTCTACTACTTTGGAAGGAAGGAAGACGTCCAACTTGGACCTACAAAACGCACTGGGACAATCAGACAAGATCAAGAGCTTCTGATGGGAGGCTGACCTGGCAACACCGTACACAAGTATAATGGGAAAGGCCCCTTACATAATCGCTGGTTTTGGACACACTCATACTATACGATGTGCCAGAACATAACGCCACCTGCTACAATCCAAATGTAGAAACAAAACTTAGAAACCTGGGACTGCACAGCACATACTGCAGGACACTGGAAGTTGACTCATTATGGGAGAGATAATGAATTGAACTTTTATTTTAACACAGGGACTAAAAAAAGCAAAGTCATTTGCCTATCCCCTTTCACGAAGCCCACACAGTCTTCAAAACAATCAGTCCAACAGATACACCAAGGCACTAGTGGTAGGGCACTCTTTTACAGTTGGCTGTTGACAGCTGTACCCTGTATCTATTCCCAGGAGAATGTTGTGCCCAACTGCATGAATACAGAATGTGTATGTTGTCTGAATACCATGATCGCTTCTAATGATGCTATAGGCATCTTGACTGGATTTTAGTTCATGAATGAAAACTGCTCTGACAATTCTGCTGTTGCCTGGCAACACCTGTCTTGACCTCTCCCATTTACAGCAAGTTGCCATGGTGATGCGTGACTCAGGAAGATGCTGCTATTCCTGTCCCCCCGTGAATACCTTTTGGGGAGTGCAGGCAGCCTTGACCAAAGACAGGTCTTAAGTAGAGGCAGATGGACAGGCTGTCCAGGATCTCACACATGCCTCTTAAGTCTAGGAAAGCACACATGCATAATTTAAATAGAGAGAGATGAGGACCAGGTGTCTCCACCTGCACTGGGAGGCCTGGGTAATGAGGATGAGCTCTATGTTATCTCACCAGGAACTTCCGCTTCTGTTTCCAGTGGGAGCCCTGTGCATTGGTATGGCGGTGAGCCTCCGTCACCATGCGGATCAGCTCCCACTCGGAGCTGGTGGGCTCGGGCCGGTTCTGCAGGGTGCGGACCATCTCCTCCTTCTTCCTGCGCTCGCGGTTCTCCTCGATGAGCCGCCGCTTCGCCACACGCTTGGACTCGTCCAGCACCACTGGACGCAGGGACAGGGAAAGGCCAAAAAAGGAAGACGGAGAGAAAGCTGAAGAGCAGGTCAGGGAGGTCTGAGCGAATGCTGAGTGCAAAGGGACAAGAGGTTCTGCTCAATCTACCACCACTGCGCAAGGGTTTACAGTCAACAAAACACGCACGCTAGTCTACAGTAAGGTTACATTTGTGTGCATGTCTGTGTCATGTCTTCCATCGCTTCAACATGCTGTTCTATTTCATTATTTTGGAAGTGACAAGATGTTAGCAGGATTTAAATATCATAACCCCTAACCTCACTGCTGAGCGAACCCCTATTGCAATCAACAGGATGACAAAAAAATATTTTTGCTGTTGCAAAACTGATCAACTTGACGGGGGGGGAGGGGTTAATGAACTTGGGGCAACGACTTCAAGTTCAAATAAGCATCCTTGTTGTCACTCATTTCCCTTCCTTTGCTGTAGGAGTTCAAGGATAAAGTCAGGGGACGGCAGCCCAGGCTCAGCGGCTGGGAGAGGCCCGCAGCTCAGTGTGGAGTGAAACGCCTGCCCTGCAGCGCGAGCGCATGGGGCCTGAGGATGTGCCCGCGGGGCGCACTCACAATCCATGGCCATGCCCACGGAGATGCACTTCTTGAAGCGGCAGAGCTGGCACTGGTTGCGGGTGATCTTGTCGATGATGCAGCAGCCATCGTACTTGCAGGAGTAGGAGGGATGCAGGTTCTTCTGGATCGTGCGGCGGAAGAAACCCTGAAGAAACGAGAGTTGGTCAGCACACGCGCCCCTTTCGGCTAATGTAGAGAATACAGGACATGCATTCGGGGCTGTATGGGCTCCGCTTGTGCTGATACCTTACCTTGCAGCCCTCGCAGGTGATGCAGCGATAGTGGTATCCAGTTGCCTTGTCTCCACACACCACACAGGGCTCATCCTTCTCCAGGTAGCTGGGGATGTACCCTGGAACAGAGAGGCTCAGCGCTAGGGAGGCAGCACCAGCCAGCCAGGGGGGCCAGTGTCATCAGGGCAGTGGACACTCTGCCTGCAGAAGAGCTGCTGCAGGACCAGCACTGCCCACATAATGACACTGTGACGGACGCTACACCGTGCACGACTGAACACTGTGACAGGCGCCACGTTGCACCCACGCTGTGCAACACACAGATGCCACCCTGCACACAAACTGTGGGGACGAAAGACAAAAACATCTCACATGCTCAGCACGTCACAAAGCATAGCATGTAACTGCATTGGATGGTACAATAAACCAGCCTAATTAATACCCCAAGGGCAAGAATTTAACCGTTGAACTTGATCTCGAAACGCAAATATAAAGAACCCTTATGTTAGGTCTTCAAAACTCAAACTGCTGTGGTTAGCCATGGGAATGAAGTCCACTCCCACTTTTACATGAAAAAGGTAATTGTAAGAATGCAAATATACACCACGTGTTACTTAAATAAGGCTTTCAAAATTAAACTGTTGTGCTTCAACTCCAAAATAACTCTTTTAAAAAAGTTATTTTTATTTAAAATAGGGATGCAATTAAACTCTGGTAGGTTTGGAGTGTGACCGCAACTTAACGCGTCTATACTTTTTGTGTGAAACGTAATATTACTGGGAATGTAATAATCATTTAAGGAATGCAATTCCATCTAATTTGTGTGAAAGGGGGAACGCAATTCGACGATCCTTTAGTTCACGGAGCTGCCCAGCCACAGCCACTGTGGAACAGGTCTAGTCTAGTGATAGTCTAGTAAAGCTTTCTCTGCTGTTAGAGCTGGGAGAGCTGGGAGGGTGGAGGCCTTCTGAACAGTGCCTGGTGTGGTTAATGTGCTTGAGGAGATGACAGGGCATGGAATCATTGGGCTGGGCTGTCCTGGCCTGCCACCAGGGTCTTTGGCTTCACTTCTACCCCTGTAAGGCAGGTTCAAGTACAAGGGGTTCCAGTGGAGCGTGTGCGTAAATATTCTAACAGCTCGCACCCAGTGAGAACTGTGATTGCAGTGCATCAGTGTCAGACTCCCATAGCCTTTTTTGCTAAGTGTGAGTTACCTGGAGGCAACTACGGACACACAGGAAGCACACAGAGATGTGCAGAGAGAGACCAGTGCACAAGGACAAACTACAGCCACATACACACACCCACGCAAGCACCCAGGGACATATAAATGTAAGACCAGATAAATGCAGACAACACTCGTCTGAGACACAAACAAGCTCAAATCTACTGCATGACAAACAGTTGTTTGCTAAAAGGCTGCTTTAATTAGTACACCTGCATCTCTCACGGTGCTGGGGACAGCCAAGGTCAGTGTATTTGCCCCTCTGTTGATGCTATTGAACATGCACTGATCTGTCCTAGGGCTGTAGCCCAATGTTGGAGCAGCTCATCCATTAGCAGGGGAGTTAAGTACCAGTCTCCACTAAACTGCACTGAGCCCTGGACACAAGGAACAAGGTGCTGCAGTCACCTACATGTGCCTATTCTGAAATGACGACCTCTGAAAACAGTCAGCAGTGCAAAAAATCAGCTTTAGAAAAAAAGTATTACCTCTAATAAGGACTTCCTAGTCAGGCATCTAAACTTTGAGGAAAAACATTAAGTGTCTGCAATTCTCATTTCATTTTAACTACAGATTGTCTTATGTATAGCATGTGTAAACTTGATTTAAAGCCCAGAGCAGTGGGAAACCGATATTAGATTCCTGCAGAATGAGGGGTACAGGGAGTCACCAATTTCCAGGGACAGGCTACAGAGAACCTGGCATTAACAGAATACCATGCACCTGTCTCTAGTATCAATGACATTTCCTTTAGTAAATAAAAGAAAACAGTTTCAGACAGCAACACGGCTCCAACCAGGCTTGGCAACACAAACAGTGCAACATCTGTCTGATTCAGGTTTTACAAAGATGACAAACGCAGATGTTTTAATACTTCTTAGAAGTACTCTTTCTTAGAAAACTTGACTTGCTTTTATTGTCATCCAAGACCGCCCGATTCTAATCCCAGAATATCACAATGCCTTTTTGTTTTGGTCTTGGGAGGCGTGTTCTGTCTGATAAGAATGGCACATGCAACCCACATGTGGAGCCTTACCAGACATGCTCTTCACCGAACATTGGCTGTTCTTTCTCTTCCTCTTCGAACCATCGAGCCACCTGGCGGGGAAGGAGGGAGAAAGAGGTAGTCCGTAATCCTGTAACCGATACACACAGTGCAGCTGGGTGGAGAGGGAGAGAGAGCAACGGGCCCGGGGAGGGAGGGAGGGAGAGGGAGGAGGATCTCTGCTGTTTCTACACCAATTCCCTGCACTTCCCGACTGCCCTGGGACACCATCATGCTGATAAAACTGCGGTACTGCCTGCACAGCTTCACCCATGAAGACAAGAGACAACACAGCAGGATTCCTCATGAGGACAGGACTGCCAATTACTGTCTGTAGTGTGATCTATACTGATTCATTTACAAAGTGCTTGATCTGCCACTGAACACCAATAAACATTTTATTGGTGAACTCAGTCAGATAAGCAGGGCCAAAAGGTCACTAATACAGTCTTTCAGACAAGCAGCAGGAAATACCAAGGTAAACTAACCACTGTATTGTTTGCCCAGCCCTACTGCCTCATGCAGGCAGCGTGAACCCACCCCTGCACTGCCACCTCCCTCCCTGTGGCACCCAGGGGCCAGACGGGCAGTCACCACCACCGTGCAGACTGGTTCCACTGGTGCCATCAGATATTCCCCAGTTCAGGGGCTGCGGATTTCGATTTAGCCTGCCGTGGGGTTAATTCTCCTAGCAGGCCCCGGCCTTGAGGATGCATCCCGTTAGGAGCCAAGAAAATATTTGGCAAGGGAAAGTACCTGGAGCATGCCCAGGGTGACAGGATACAGCACGCCCACGACCTCCCTGCTGTACGACCCACTGCATGAACTCAAGGACCATCATCATCAACAAGAGGATGGGTTTGTGTCTGCTACATTTCTTGCATGGTTTTGTGCCTGGCACTTATTATCTACATGTCAAAACCTTCCTTTTTTGAATACATTTTTTGCATTATTGATATATACCCCACCCCTGTGGCACACTGCCAGTTGTGCCTCACTGCTTGGGGAAATTCGGTCACAGTCAAGTAGAGACATGACCAGAATGCTCAGTCGAATATGACAAGAACTAAAGAGTTTCTTCTGCTCTTCCCCCCCTTGGCCAAACCTGAGAATGATTTAGATATGAAATTAATATTTCACCAAGAAGATGGATCCTCACAAGTCTTTTCCATTCTGACATGAGTGGCAGAACCAGAAACATCTGAACGATAGTGTGTGTGCGCATACACAGCAAGAGCTCTGGAGTGAGTGTGCATCTGCATACTGTATGTGTGTATTTAGCATTTTAGTGGAATGCCTCTAAACGTGCTTGTCAGTATAATCAGAATATAATATTCCCATCAGAGTAAATACAGTAGGGTCTCTATATCTTTAAGGTTTCAGTGCAGAGAACCATTGTAAATAGACAAATTCATATATAACCAAGCCCCCCCTATACCATCATACAATATACTACAGTATATAGTATGCATAGTTAATAGACATGTCACCATCCTTTATATGAAAATTAAAGTTTTATTGGCTTGTAGTTAGTTTAAATAACATGGATCAACTACAGGAAACAGTAATAACAAACTTATAGTGATCAGCTAAAATAAACACAAATCCCTCCTCTGCGTCTAGCCTGCACTGTCTCTTTCTGCCTCCGGGATTATCACACCCTACTGAAATGAAACGGGCAATAAAACTGTCAGACAGCCTGTAAAGTCATCTCCAGCCTGTCTTTCCCCACACTGCTGACACAGAACCTGGAGATTTCTGTACCGTATTAAAACAAGCCCACGCAGAGATGGGGATGCTGGGTAGTGGGTGCTTGGGCAGGCGGCAGGTAGAGGCTCACTCACTTGCTAGATTCGTCTCACAATCCTAGAATGCTGCACAGCTAATTTCAAAGTGAAGGTTAACAACCGCAGCTCGGTTTCATCTCGCTCTGCTCTTCTGCCTTTCAGGGCCCCGTCGGCCAGACCGATCACGAATAAGCAAATTGGCGAATGTTGAAGTCAGGGATGTCGAGACCTCTATTGTACCTATTAAAGCATGCATTTGCTAGTTTGCCTTATATCGGTCAAGACGCATCTAAAGCTCGGCGGTGTACAGACACTGGAAAAACCTCAGGTCACCTGTGGTCACCCGGACTGCCCAGGCTGCGGTGCGCGGCTGCCTCACAGTTACCCAGGGTGGGGCTGGGATCACCAGATCAGAGCTCGGCTCCAGCCCACATGGGACCCCCAGGCACTGGCAGACTGGTGACAACATCAGTGCGGGACACACCCATCTTCCACTTGGCGCTAAACAATCACATGGCTGTGGACCTTGCAGCATGTCAGCAGCTGAACTGTGGGGGTCAGCGGAAATTTAAAGACACCAACTTGGCCATTTCAACCGGAGTATACAACGAAAAAGGATCCAGCGATTTTCTAAGTGGAAAGCAACAGATTCCCGAGTGGGTCACTTGCCTGGCGCGCACACACTCAGGCAGAGAAATCCTGAGCCGGGTCCTGACCTAAATGCGTGCTGCCGCTCAATGAGGGGCACTGCCCACGACCAGCCAAGATGGCGCAGCTGCGTCATTTCCCATCCTGGCCTGAAACAAGGCGCCAGGCTCGGAGGAGAGGGACTCCCCTGTCTCCGCCCCTCCCTCTCCCTTTCGCTCGCTACAGTGAAGCAGAAAGCTTCCCCCTGCGGCCCCCGCGGCCGTACTCTGCCTTGAAGTGTGTCATGGTGATGTCACATCTCCCCTCATTTGTCGGTCTATTAATGCAGGCATTGTCTGGAGCCCAGGAATGGCATTCGGCCATTCTAATTCGCCCAGTGCAGCGCACTTGGCAGGATTATATCTGGTTTATCTGGCTTAGAATATTTACATAAGTACACACACGCTGTATCTAAATAGATTTTGAAAGCATCCAATGGTTTGATATTCAGTGTGCAACCATACAGCATAAAGTTCTCCTACAGTACAGCGTCTGACTCCCCCCCTCCTGCCTTCTGTTTCTCCTTGCACTGCCAAAGACTTCACAGTGTATGAATATACAGTTCCAGTAGGATTTTAAAAGAGAAAAAAAAAGCTGTACAATTTAACAAACATTTTTCCAAGGGTTTGATCTTTGAAACGACTGTTTGTTTTTCTTTCTTCTGTGCACTAACGTCCTGCCCCAAAAGGCCCCTGTTTTAACAATTGCTATTTTAACAGTGATTAACTGCAGCTTTTGTCCGGTGCTTTTTAATGTTTCAGACACTTCTAACCTCATTTTAGCCAGTGTAAGCTCTGTCCAAATTTGTTTTGGCACCCAGCGTAAATATGACATCATGGGTCACATGCTTTACCGATTCTGCAGCCTGTTCCTCAGCCCTGCAGGGATCTGCTGAAGCAAAGAATCATATTACTGAGCACAGGGATGAACAGGAAAGCTGGAACCTCTTTGGAGACTGTAGCAAAACTAGTTCATTCACAAAAAGAGACTACATTTACACCGGACCAGCCTACTGCATCTAAATAGATTGTCTTCTTCTGTTTGAAGAGGTGTCATTCAGAATGGCCCATGACTGATCACAGTGAATTGGTGACAGGCTTGTTGCAGTGGGGATGTGACAGCTCCCCTAGAATATTATCAAGTACCCCCTGTAGAAATCTATACTGAAACCCTTTGTGTTTGCATTAACCCTCATCCAGTGCTGCCGTGTCTCACATTAACATCCCGTATCCCAGCTTTTAAACTCAGGACCCTCAGAAGGAGAAAAGTGGAATGAAAAAGAAGAACGCACCTGTTCCTCTTTTCATGAATGTTCTCTTTATGAAAAATCGATACTATGCAGAAAAAATTGTAACCCATATTTCAAATAAAGAAAGCCATCTTTAAAACTACAAAAAAGCAACGCGAAGAAAAATGTCAAAATCTCCGCCAAATGTGAAGTGGAAGGAATAATGAAACTCGCGTCACACTGAGTGTACCTATCAAAACACACTGAGTGTACCCATCAGATTCCACTAACATGGGTGAGAGCTAGCACAGAGCCTAGAGAGACATGAGAGATGCAGTTCACTGTTCAAAATAGTGGTTTAAGCTTTATCGCGGACCTTAAAGGTGTTAAGATAATGAAATCTGAGTGTGTGTGTAATTGTACAAAAAGCAAATGAAGTGGTTGCTATACAGCACAGTACTGTCCTTAGGTATGATTAATGTCTAACTAGGTAAGCGGTGTGGTTTTGGCGAAAGAAGTAAAAGTAGGAGCGACATTTCTGGAGCCAAGACTTATTTCAATTTTTCCCCAATAAGAAATAATGGAAATTGTTTTTTCTCTTTCTGACTTTTTTTTGCAATACGAAAGGGCTCCTAGGAACTAACTGCATTTGTCGAAGGAGGTACGGGTGTATTACAAAGGAAGGAGAGGGCCGTGGCCTAACTTTACCCCTGCAACCCTGTGGGGCGCCATAGCCCTGGGCAGGCTCCGAGGCCAGGGGGCAGAGTCGCACTGAGGGACTGTGTGGTGAAGGGAGAGCCGACGCACGAGACACACTGGCTCTCCCTCGCGTCTCCCCCACCGAGCCTAGTCTGCAGCAAAGATCTACTCCCCACTAGGGAAGAGCTGGCGATTCACAGCCCCTGCTGTGCCAGGACTCAAGAAACCTGGGAAGGGGCAGCACGGGCCAGGGAGACGGGCAGGGCGAGGGGCATCGCAGCCTGCCCGTGAGCGAGCGGGCCCACGCAGACATGCGGTGACGCAGAGCGGGCGGCAGCAGGAGCAGCAGCCGCGCTGGCGCCACCGGCGCAGGCGAGGGGCGCGCAGAGGAGGGATGGCGCGCCCTGCCGACACCGAGATGGCGGCGTGTCCTGGGCTGTCCTCTGGTGTCCTGCTGTCACCCAGGCTTCCCCCCTCCACCGCCTAATCCTACACTCTCAGCTCTTTAATCCCCCCTGCAGCCAGTGCGCTCCTCTGCTCGCCTATCTCACTCTCACTCTCTCTCTCTCTGCAGCCTGTCAGTTTGCTGGTCAGCTCTTTCTCTCACTAGCCCGTCCAGCTCCCTGCCGACCCACACTTCCTCCCCTCTGACCCAGCTGTCTGTCAGCCTCCTCATCAGGACCTGGATCTCCATCACATTTCTCCATGAGGCCAGACACCCCCCCCCCAACCCCCCCATTCACCAGGACTGGGAAGCGCTGCAGCCTGCAGAGTGGCGATCAAAGGTGCGATACAAACAGCTGTCATCAAGCTGTTTTCACACTGCTCTTCTGTTGCAGCTGCAGCGAGAATCAATAATCCTGCCCGGCTGAATAAAACAATACCAACAACATCAACAACAGAGCTGCTGCGCGTTTCCCTTTTTTTTAAACTAAAAACCCAGGACCTAACACACTATCATCTGGCCGGGACATCAAAGCAAAGCATATTATGTGATCACCTCCCACGGAGCTCATTCCCTCGCTATGACCACTTGCACACGGCAGACTCCGAGAATCCCTGAGAGGCTATGGCCCTGATTTATGAAGAGATTTTTGCGTGCAAATATTGAAGCATCCAATCAGAGCAGCAATTTAACTTCTTCCTGGCTTTGATGCCAGGCAAAGCCATGCAAATGCCATGTGCAAAAAATGGAATGAGATAAGGAAGCCACACTTCAACTGGCAATTGAAAAGTAACTAAAGACAATTGGGGATAACAAGTTCATGCTGGCTAGATAAATTTGCAAGTCTGATCTGATTTTGTTAATGCCTGCTCTTCTTCTTTAATTAGAAATAGCGGCAGGAACTATTTATAGATCCTGTTCCAATCACCGCCCACAGGCTGCGCTAATCTACCGACAGGTGTCTGTTGCCGCGATTTAATCAAGCCTGCCTTTCCCTAGCTTGACTTCCATTGTCACGGATTAATCTGTTAGGGAGATCGGAAGGAACAGCAAACTGCAGCATTTCTCAGGGTACGTCCCCGAGGGAAACCCCTCTTTCCAAGCACAGCTGTGCTCCTTATCCACACCATGGAGAAAAGACAATTAACCGCAGTAAGGAAAACTACACATGCTTCAACTTCTGTCTTAATCACTCAACGGCCGTGTAACTACACATTCTTTACAGTTTCATCTGGATTGATTGCGGCTCAGGGATTTCTGAAAGTGATAGATGCTATCGGAGGCTGCATAACACCACACTTAGTGGTCTAGGTTTCCCCCAATTTAGACACAGAAGGAAACTGAAATATGAAATTATTACAAATACATTTTTTTTGTGAGAAGATGGAATATCACAAGTACAACTGCACATTGTGCTTTAAGTGTCACCAGCTCAGATATGTTAGTGAAGATAAATCCACCCCCAGGAGAGAGCCCACCCATCCCTGATGCTCCCAGGGGTGAGAGCTTCTTGTCTAGAGGCCCTGCTAGGAGGTTTCCCAGGGCATCTCTCCCAGCAGTGATGAGGCCTCTCAGTGGGAGGAGGCCGGCCCTCTGGTGTACTCGATTTCTCCATGTGGGGTTGTATGGAGAGACGCCAGGCGAATGCTGGTGAGGAATGAGGCACACGGGCTCTACAAGGTAAAGCATGGCTTGAAGATTCAGGAGGACCCATGAGGAGTTAACCCTTGGTAGCTTTGTTCCCTACACGAGTTAGGGAAAGCCGTGCCAGGGATCTGACCAGTGCACAGCAATAGAAATGCTGCTGGAACAGTTCGGCCATGATGTTTTTTTTTTTCCCCTCCTGACTTATGTGTGGGTCATGGTAGCAAAGCAGAGCATGGAATTGCAATTTTTCTTTTAATTGGGGGGTGGTTTCTTTCTCAGTCCTTCCTCTGCTGTGCGTGTAAAGCTCAGAGATTCGCAGGTTTTAAAAAGATCCCAGGAGGCTCGCTTTATTGGGGCCATTTCAAATACTTCCCATAAAACGTAATTCGTTTCTTAGCTAACTGAGGGAGTGAGCTGTGGATTGGCAGGGTAAGGATACACTAGCAATACCAAGGAGTACAACCTTCTGCAATGTACCACCCCCTCCCCCAAGAGTGTGGCTGGGTTTTTTTAAGGTAAGGACCCACTTCTGAAATTTTTCGATGGCAGCATTAACATCCCCTTCTCATCCGTGCAAGGAAAGCACACCACAAACTCTCAGTGACCTGTTTGGATCATTCAGCTATTTGGGAAACTACAATACTGTTTTTTCCTTTTTTCTTTCAGTGGTTGCTACTGGAGACAGCACACACCATAATCTTTGATATGCCTGAGGCAGTCTGGTTTCCAACCTTCAGCGTGCCCGAAAGTTCTTTGTACGCACGTCAGCAAGGAAAAACAGAACTGAGCAAAACAAGAAGACATGTGTGTAAGCGACCACTTGAGTAACGAGTTGAGCCAGGCAAAAGACGTGCGTTGCATCAGAGAACTGATGACTTTCATTCCACTAAGTCAAGGTACAGTATGTAAAATGTTCAATTTACATCCCAACTTTTCAAGACACACAAATATAGGATGTAAGTGACCCCTCTCCTTGTCCAGATGCCCTCACCACAAAAGCACAGCCTTTAACACATTAAAAAAAAAACAGAAAATCGAACATCAAACACATGGATGGAGCACTGAAGAGAACGAAAGCGGACTGGCCACTCACCGTTTCTCTTCTCCCTCTGATAGGTTAGGGTCTTTCTCTTTGGGCATGTGTTCCATTCACCTCAATTCCATCCAGCAGCCAATCACGCGAGACTGAGGCAGGCCCCACCCTCTGATGCGCACTTTGCATTCGCAGGTCTTGGTGAGCCAATCTGCAGCCGTCACAAGGTCACTATGGGCACGGTCTCCATGGTGACGCTGCCCGGTGACATCAGATTTGCAGATGCTCCACCCCTGACCCAACGGAGCTCAGCAATTCTCACAAGACGGTGGGAGGTGGGAGGGGACAAAGAAAAAACCTGTGGAAACACGGAATTAAAGTTAGTTGTGGACAGAGCCTGTGACCATCAAGTCTAATTGCCACTACAAATATGTCAACTTCCTGTGTGAAACAGTCAACATTATCATGTGGCCCTTTTATAATAAGCAATTTAGTGCAACACCAAACTTGAGACGTGAAGTTTAAGTGTAAAAAAACCCACCTCGGCAATATCTGCAACAGCCTGACCACTGGAACAACACATGCTATCAATCCACATCTTGTTTTTGTTGAATAATGATTTTGGTTACAATGTTAGTAGGGATTAAGAGTGCGCTGTAATAAGATCCGGTGCTACAGCCCTATGTTGCCAATACGGCCTCAAATGCCTTGCAGACCTGGACAGTGAAGCCCCAAGCTTGAGCCAAAAACGGTTTTTGGTTTCCTCAAAAAGCCCTGCTTTATACGGTGAGCTCTGCTGAGCTTAACTGAAGCATCTGAGGTGAGCGTGTGTCTGACCTGGGGCCGACTCACACGAGCTGCGGCGCCGCAGCCCGGCGCTGGCCGTCAACACGCGCACACGCCCCTGACCTCTTGCACAGTGCTGCCCAGGCCACTCCCTCACTATACATTTGTTTTGTGTTTTTAGAAAAGGACAAACATTAACCTGGGGAACCATTTCTAATCTTTCAGATTTGTACTTCCAGCGTCATCTTATGGATTTACACACTTGATGGAAAACACAGCTGTTACTGGGATGACCCTGCAGGCCGGAGCCGGGAGGGCCTGGTACCCACTGGGGCTGCGTGGACTGGGGGCTCGGAGGTATGCCCGAGACAGCACGCCGAACCCATGACCCGACAGGGAGTGCCGCTCTGAGAACGAAGTGGGGTTGGGCAGCAGGAAAACAACAGGTTCCAGCCCACGGCACCGGTAGGATTTATTTGGTGGAGCTGGGCTGATGACTTGACAAGAAATAACTGAATTGCACCGGATAAATAAAGGGCTGGAAGAGCAGCCAAAGACCTGGATGAGATTGGTTCAGAAGGCGGGGTGCTCAGCGAACCCTGGTCCGTATCAATACAAGCTCAGCTGTGCACAAGCAGGACATACTGGGGCAACACTCGCGGAGCATGGAGCCAGGTGGAGGTCAAGCATGCCTGCAGAGCAGGCCCAGAAAGGGTCTTGTCTTTGCAGGAGACACCCCCCCACTTGACATTTATTTCAGGAGACAACAGGTCAAGGCTTGGAGAGGATTACCGGCCAGAAATATCCCCCTGCTTTCTAAGAAACAGTGGCTTCATTCTGCCTCCAACCCATTCAGCCCTCTCTTTCCTTCCTCTCTCTCCCAGCCAGCTGGGCTCAGGCCTGGATGTCCAGAAAGCCCAGGGAGCAAATGAAGCCCAATATAAAATAAAAAAAAAAGTGAAGAAAAGGAAGCAGATCTTACACGTGCAGGGTTTACAGAAATAAAGCCCTTGCATCCATTTAAACTATTAAAACTGTACAGGAAGGTTAAGCTCGTTTTTGTGCGCTCAGAATAGCTGCGTTGAGATAATACAGTTAACGACTACAAAGCTAAAGATCAAAGCCATATTGCCTTTCCTGTTAATACTATGACTACCCCCTCCTCCTCCCAGCTACGACTCAGCCCTCAATGTCACTGCACGGCCCCACTGCCTCCTTCAGGACTTGGTCTCACAAGACCCACTTGCTTCAATGCAAACCAAGAGGTGACAAACACACTGCTTCCTTCTTCGCAGCCATGTCTGTGAGTGCTGAGCAGCCAGCGACAACGACGTCTTTGATCAAACCCCAACTGCACCCTCATCCCAAACCGCCTCTGTCCCTCTCCAAACTTTGGCTCTACACAGCGCCTAAAACTGCCACCCTCTCGCCTTTCTTTCAGCTCCAACTACTGTACAGCACATGCTGCCCTAACTGTCCCAGTCCTTAGGGGTAGACTTTCATTCATTTCATCTTAATAAGCAGCAGCTAGACGAGTCTGTCTTTGCTGCTGCTCAGAGCAGGTGTGGGAGTCTGTGTACTGTATGTGAGTAGGGGGTGTGTGTGTGTTGCCTTTGATCTTGTACATTTGCATGGCCATGTTGCAACACATTTCTAAAAAAAAGAGTTCGACTCAATCCAGGCAAACCAGTTCTTAAAGCCAAGGTGTAATTTTCCACTTATGCCCCTCGGGACTGAAGGGAGAGTGGCAAAGAGGGGGAAAAAAAAGTACGAGAGAGAGAGTAGGTGAGGGTAGCGAGCCAAAGCAGTCAAAAACAATCTTAACTTTTTTTTAATGAGTTGACGTAAGTGACAGACAGCATTGCTGTATCCATTGGGGGCTGCAGGTGGGAAGAAGAGGAGAAGCTCAGCGAGGTGAAGATGTTTGCTCCCAGTCACTGCTCAAGCCCTTAACCCTTCAGCAGCCTGGTGAATTGGAGTACTTCTCACGTAGGGGCAGACCCAGCAGAAAGGTTATGAAAACAAAACAGAACTGTGAGGTACTGTGCAAATTATTATGAGCGCTTGCACTTGAGGTCTGTTGAGCAAAATTTATTCAAAACTCTGAACAACTGCTCACCCAAAGGTCTATAACTGGATCAATGGTGCCTTCAGGACTCCAAACAGGAGGTGCCTCTTTGCATAAAGAGTGGCGGGGGTCTGGAACAAACTGTTGTAGCTGCTGAAGCGGATTCACAGAGATCTTTCAAAACATGGCTGGGCTCACGTTCCCGGGCTGTGCCTGCACACTGTAATGCACAGGCAGCCCACTTCGCCAGCGTACAGAGGCTGTAACACCAGACAGCTCATGCTTATTTGTGCTTATTTATGGTTAATTTATATCCCTTGAGCAAAGTTTCATTTCCTTTAACATGAGTACAGTAGCGTCTGAGCAAACCCACATCACAGAGACGAAGCAGGGGTTGCGCACACACTGAATTAAGCGTGCAAACAAAACCCACTCTGTTGCTGTTTCAGAAGGTTTGCAATAACATAGGGAGCAGAGGGCTGGTCTGTCACCTACATAACATAACGAGGAAACTGCAGTGCCACCTGCTTAAACGATCAGAGAAAAACAAAAAGCTGGGCCTGCCCACCGTCACTGCCCCCCAGGCGTGTTCCAAAAGCTTGTCCACGTGCTGCAGTTTGCAACCTTATCCCGCAGCCAGGGAAAAGCACAGAAAAGCACCGCTGATGTCGGAGGTGTGTTTTTACGGAGAATTCCACAGGAGCGGAGGAGCCTGCCAACACACCAGATAAAAAAAACTCCCAAAAAACATGGAAAAGTTTCTGCACTAGCAAAATGTCATCCAGTCTCCCTTCCTTCCATAAGAACAACTATTGCAAATGCATGTAACCGAGAACGATTTGAGGGTGTTTCGGTCTTGCAGAATAGATGTGTCTGCTGCAGCGAGACCCAGGAGCGAGGCGGACAGTAACTGCAGGAGACATCACGGGGACGGAGCACAAGGGCCTAGTCGCCTACGTGCAGAAGACCTCCCTCACAGGACACCCTTAAAACATGTGCAAGTGGGCAGCAGCTACAACCCGAGTGTAACTGTACCAGAGAGAAACCGGCGGATGGGTGCGGCAGGGATCTGACTAGCACGTTTCACATGGAGCGGAGGAAGACGGTATCCCAAACTGGCACTACCACCTGGCTCGTCCAGCTCTCCGTCCCCTCCAAAGGGAGACAAGATCAGACCGCTCGCAGTGACTGTTGGGAAAATAAAGCCAAATAATGGGTGGGAGGGGTGGTTAGGGAAAGCAGTGTCCCAGGGCATCCTGAAAGTGTTCAGGTGTGTACAGTAAGACTGCTCTGACTCTTGACCCTTCCTGTGCTGAAACGGAAAACGTTCCTGTTCTTTTCAGTCTCGGAGTCCTATTCCTATCCATATCTCTCTCGGATACTGCTCATGATCATGAGACCCTGGGAAGCCTAGGTCATTTTAATCACTTCTCCAGGTCAGCACAGCCACATGTACAGGCTGTCACACAAGCACGCTATCTAGACTGGACTGCTAAACACAGAGTATGGATTGAGGAAGAGACCAGCAAGGTTCAAAGACTACCACCACTGCAAGAATCCAACCCAGATCAAAACAGGATACTCCCACCCAGCTTTCAAGATGGACTGGCAAATGAAGTTAAGAGCAAACCAGAATGTGAGCATAGCTAGGAAGCCAAAAGAAACCCAGACAAGCTCAAGTACTTATTAATCTCATGTTGTTATCCAAAGAGATTTACATTTGCACATTTGCTGGGTACTTTTACTGGAGCAGCAAAAAAAGCAAAAAAAAGGAGTGTCAAAAAAGCAAAAAAAAAGCAGTGTCTCACCTAGTTTTCGAACCTACAACCTTCCTGTTATGAGTCTAGAACCCGAACTACTACGGCTCACCTTAATGAGTGACTGGACCCTCTGGAAGGATCTCAGACTGCTATCCCAGGAGCTTCTGGGGTTAGTCCAGAGACTGTAGTCCAGCATGTACACTGGCACAATGCACAATCCAGGCTGCCCTCATGCTAACGGCACAGAGAGCCTCACACACACACTCCCAGACACGCAGACACTCTGTCCAGAGCCCACCCTGGGTTACTCCTGGCTCGTCTCAGCCCGGTGACACACTGCCCGTCTTTGATGCCTACATGAAACACTACATCGCTCACAAAAAACAAACTATGGGGGCCTGCAGTGAACTTGAATTGGAAACAGCAGACGGGCAGCACAAACACTGCTGCCCCCATTTCTGTAAACCTGCTAGAGGCTCTGAGGAACGGCTGTGCCCCAGAGCTGTATGGAAGGGAAAGGGATTGAGTTGCCTTTGTTAAGAAAAAGAATGACTACAATATTACAATCTGTTCTGAGTCACAGAGTGGATAACAAATGAAAAAGAAAAGAAAACTGAAAAGCTAATCTTTTTTACCTACTACTTTGTTAAATAAAAAAACGTAAAGAAGAGGAACAGGAAAAGTGTAAGTGCTGGGTTGACTAAAGAAAGGTTTGGTGCTGGTCACTGTAGTAGAATACAGGAAAAAGCTTGTTTTTCACGAAACTAAGAAAAAAACTGCAAAAAGACACCTTAGAGAGGAGTTTAATGAGGTGTGTATGTTATAACTCAGCCCCATGGCAAACTGAGGGAGAGACAAGGCTCTGGCATGCTTTCAGCTCCTCATTCACACAGGCAGCATTGCACTGGTCACAGGCGTGCAGCAGGGGGCGCTCTGGTCACCCTTCCACAGGTACTGCCCATCTGGAAGCTCAGCAGAGCAAGCTGGCCTTTATTTACATTGTGCAATTATTTTACCACACGCTGATCTCTTAGATACCACTCTTGGTAAAGATTCCTGAAGGTCCAAAGGGTTGAGGAATTATTCACTATCTTACCTCTCCCAATTCTCAAATTTCATCAAGCACTGGATCTTCACTAATAATCAACTCAGTGACAAACACCTGCATCCCTCACACAGCAGCAGGCAGGTTTGCCATTCCTATTCTCTCTCCCTCTCTCATTCTCTGAGATCACCTGTCTGGCTGCTGACAGTGAGGCACAGGGCCTCCCTATGTCGCCGAGTCCCATGGGCCTGTAAACCAGCCAATCCGACTCTAGAAATAGCTCTCACTCTTCCTCCTGGACAGACTGCAACCCTGGCTGTTCCAGCTGATTTTATAATCCTCTTAATTAGCCGAGAGG